GTGTTCGACGCATTGTTTACGGCCCAGGAAAAGGATCTGAACCGCTCAGCACCGTTATTTCCCGCACCAGGCTCCGATGGCTGGGCCACGTGTTGCGCATGCCAGCCCACCGACTCCCTCGACGTGCGTTCTTTGCGCGCCGGGGATGTGGATGGAAGAAGAGGAGAGGTGGCCAAGCGATGATTTGGTCGAGAGGAATGAAGTCCCTCACTTCGGAGCTAGCCTCGGTTGGAGTTTCACGGCTCCCTGGTTGGGGTCCAAAAGACGGTGAACACGTTTGGCCGGATACACTTGCTGACATGGCAAGGAGCCGACCTCAGTGGCGTTCGTGCTGTGAGTTTCTTTGTCCCTCCCCAACCCTTTTAGCCTCCCCCTCCATCTACGATCTCATTTCGTAGGGTAAAACATAATTAAAATTTTTTTTGCGTAGTAGCTGGCTGGAAGCTTACCGGAACGATGCCTATCCGTTGCTGGTAGCTCAGCTGGCATGCAACTGTTGTATCTATTTTTTCTTTGTGTATTGTATTATATGTTTGTATGTATTTCCTTCATGTATTGCGGCACAATAGCGGAGGTGTTTTCCCACCTCTTGCTGATGTGTATAATGATGATGATGATGATCCATGTTTATTTCCTCGTATCACGACTTGGCTCGTTGGTTAGTTGGAATACTTGCACCAATAGGATGATCGTGAAACACGCCGTGAAAAGCACCTTCGAACTGAACGAACACGTGCATAATATGAACACTGCCGATAAGGTAATGTGTTCACTTGATGTTCAATCACTTTTTACCAACGTGCAACAAATGGAGACGGTGGAGTGCTTACGCAATTTGGTGACGGAGGAGAAGGAAACTTTACCACTTCCCGTCGAATATCTGAAAAATCTAATTCTGATATACACGGAGAATAGGCATTTCTCATTCGGAGGCGAACCCTACAAAAAGTGGATGGAGTTATTATTGAAAGTCCACTCGGTCCTACGCCAGTAGATATCATTATGCCAATGGTCGAATCAAGTTGTGAATTACACCCTGACCAAATGTGCATGTACACGTGGCACGTTGATTATCACCGTAAATATCAATGCCGCCGAATCACTTCTGGAAGCGATGAACAAAGCACACAAGAATAGTACTGAACAACAACTGTCTTGCCTTGTTGGATGTGCTATTGACAAGAAAAGCAGACGGTTAAAGATGGCGATCTGTCTGACGAAAATCCACTTGGACGGGACTGTATGAACACTTCAGTAGCTTCACGATCACCTGATATAAACGCTGCCTCGTCGAAACCCAGTTCCAAAAGCTGTGGGAAAACGGTTACCATGCAGCTTTTATTACCATCCATGGCCGCTTGATGGAAGAGAGAAAACAAACCCCTATGGTACTAAAAAATTCCAGTTGCTATACAAAGGAGATGCCATGGCAAAACAAGATGAGCGGCGCATAGTCATAGCAATTTGACGGACATACAGTGCTGTCAAAATGCGCCCCTTTTGGAGAACCAGGAAGGTAAAAACACCTCCGGTCAAGTTTAGCGAACCTATCTTCGCCACGACACATGGAATTTACCTCTTTGTCTGTAGCTGCGGAAGCAGTTACGTCGGTAGAACAGATCGGCATCTACGTTAGCGGATCGGAGAGGATATTACAAACTATGTTGATGCCATTAGGAGAAGTGAAACATGAGGAGAGGCGTCAGGCTCGAAAATGCCAACCTCGTCAATTGTGAAGCACCTACTATGTACAGGTCAAGCTGTCCCGGATATAGTGTTTACGGTTATCTACCGCAATGCAAACGCCAAAACTACTCAAGTTCGCTGTGGCCATCAATCGCAATCGTTGAATGTCACACATAAGCTTACTTGGGGACCGCAAGACTTGTCTCACAACTGGTGATTCTGCTGTGGCTTGTGTGCCTTTATGTGTATTTTCTTTCCTTCTGTCCACATACAAACTATCGATACGTTCCCGAAGTGATGGTTAAGTATGTTGCGTGTTTGATTGTGATCAGCAGAGAGCACTAAATGATGTCGTGTTGCAACATCCGTTTTCTCACTGTATTGTTTAAAATGAATAAAAGGAACGTAATGCTTCACATATTCATTGCCCGGTACTTGCGCCAGTCATTCCGTGAACATACCAGAAATATTTGAAAGCGCAGTCCATTTTATGCCACATAAAAATAACCTTTGAGCTTCTGGTGCAACAGTATAGATCTCATTCATCGGCATTATACACATCAGTGTGACATCTTTCTCTCTGTGAAAGGGTTCCGCCGCACATTTCCAATCTCCCGCAAAAAACGAAAACCAATGTCATGACGTGAAAGCGTGTCGCGAGATTAGTTACCGAAGGGGGTACAAGTAGTGTGAAAACCAACGGATTTATGTATGTCAATCCAGGGTAATTCAAACTGTAAAACACCTAGATCACATGCTAGAATTAGAAGTTTAGTTCCGCTTGACCAATGTGGAGGGAGTTGATTATATAACGTGAGGTGCTTAGAAACCCTTGATGCTTGGGCTACACATTGTTGGCATGGATCGTGTTCTCATTGGAATAATGAGTGTACCTGGGAGATTTTACTCCCTCCAGACAGTTGAATAGAGGTGAGAAGCACAATTGTTATACCGCAAAAGTAACCGTTAGCTACTGTACCCGCACACCAATGAAGGACGTTTGGAAAGTCACATTAGCCTAACACTTGCTGGCAGGAGCCACATGGATGACTTTGTTACTTGAGAAGAAACAAATACTTTGGAAGTTAAAAAAGTCGAGCAACACTAGTGACCGCACGACAGAAGTGCCAAAATTCCTATCGGGTGCGTTATGAAATGGTAAGTTGAAAGTTGAAGATGCAAAACACATGTAGAAGCGTAAGGTGTTTTCGATCTAACTATCCAAAGGCGACTGAAAAAGGGCGGGGCTAGTTCGGAGAGATGAAAAGTCCACACACAGGTTGGGCACAGCCCAGCCAAACTCACCCGAAGTTCACTGGCGCCAGTATACTATCGGACCCGAACTACACGGTCGCTATGCAGAGACCCAAACTACTCAATTATCAGAGTGGAGCTCTCGCTATGAAAACTGCCGCCAAGAGTACATTCATCCGCGCAGATCACAACTGAGTTGCCCTCAGTGAGAAAGCGGCCAGCATATCTGGCACAGTCCCACACTGAACTTACCCCAGTATCATCGTCGTACCTCCCGGACTCTCATCAAGTCAACAATCTAGCACTTGAGCTGGGTTCACGCAAATGCCTTAGCTACCGAGCAGACTACACAACTGTTCGCCGAGCTTCGCAATTGGTATGCAAACATTTCACCAACACACGAGGTGACTTCCTCAGTCTGAGGATCGGCGAACAGTCGAACCCAGGAACGATCGACCAGGGGTACCAGTACATCAAGCCTTTTGAAACAACCCTAGTGTGTAAAAATAAAACAAATTGTCACCTGTACGCTATAAGTCGGCCTGTAGCCTAGAGGTAACGAGCTTGTCTTGTAATTTTACTGGCGGGTTCGAATTGATGTAGGAGTGGGCGTTTTCGCGGCATACTCAGCGCGCGAATGGTGGTGGTCCTGAAGCAGTGAAGCGCCGTTACGGCGCAGTGTGTGTCAGCACGACCACCAGCAGTCCCGTGTGAGCGGAGTATAACACGAGGACGCCCGCTCCTACGCGGATTCGAACCGGTGACCTTATGATTGCAAGCCAGGCGTGCAGATCACTTGGCCACCGGCCGACATTGTCGTGTATCCAACGTCTCGACAGCATCGATCCAGCCCACAAACCGGAGATAAGCCCTTATATGACAACTCATGTGCTAACAGATACATTTAGTATCGGTTGAGTGAACTATGAAAGTGTAGAAAGCACGGTCGCCTTGGTTAAGTCAGGAAAAGCAATCTGTCACCTAAGTCCACTAGCCAGTCCAGTTGGAATCGTCTAGGCTATTCTGCGCGTTGAAACTAGTGAGTGAAAGAGCTCGTCCGTTCCGAATGCGACAGTAAAAACCCATTAAGGACGGATATAACAAAACGCCATCAGAGGCAGAAGCGACGTTTCCCTACTGTATAACCATAACTGTCTTGCAAATTAGCAATGATAAGATGCGAGATACGGTGACTGGAAGAAAACCTAAATACGCAAAGTAAACATGCGGCATGAAAGCCGCTGAGTGTTGCCAACCACACGAGCAGATGACGAGACAACTTCCATAGGGATCCGTTAGTCTACATCAAAAGTGACCCTACTCTACGGATAATTAACACTTCAAAGGGAGTTTGGTTGAAAGGAACAGTCACTGGTGTATGTGGGTTGCGTTACTACAGTGTTGCTTAGGCTCAAGTAGAACGATAACCCCCACACCTGAAATATTTGGCACAAAAGTTTGGCCGCTAAGTCAAGGGAGTGCGGTTATCGTCTAGAATATGGGTCTATACTATAAAGACGCAGTTCCAACTAACCGACCCAGAAAACCGGGAAGCTAAGTTCGTGTGACTGCTAACCAACAGGAATACCGAAAACCTGCACATCCGCCAATCTAATACAGATAGATCTTAAAGAGAATTGGAATCACACAGTACAGCCGAATGAAACGCGGAGGTAAGCGAGTATTTGCAACAGGTAAACATACAGTATCGTTGAAGAAGAACACTTACTCATTGTTATTTTGATTGCTAATATCAAGAAAAGTGACAGGATAGCACTGATGAACCACAATTATCGCGGTATTCATGGATGTTGGAAAAGCTGTTGGGTAACCGAAAACTGGGGAGTGATACCAGGCGTGATCAGTCAGACCTAACCCCACATAACAGTGTGTACTTGACTGGCCGATAAACACGGCGTAAACAACCGAAAATCGCAATGGTGTGAGCACCAAGCCTTGGAAACATAGGGCGTATAAATAAACAAAAACTGTGTGAAAAGGTCCCGGCGAAAAAGACAATAGTAACAATCATTAAAGAACAACATGAATGAACCTCTCACTTGGCGGGAATCTGAGTCCAAAGCAATGACATCCAGCTGCTTTGAAGATGAGACATGGTTCAAGACTTCTTTGTCTTGTAGAAACAACACAGCAGAACCACCACCAGGTTGGTCGCCATCGTTGACAAACTCACACAACTGAGAGCGTACACTGAGGCTATCGAAAGTTTGATTTAACTGTTCAGTAGTTGTGACTAGTTTGGCGAGCCAAGAGCAGCACCGAGGCACTGAGTCCGTCAGGAGTGGGCCGCGATTGGTCAAAAGCGGAGTCAAATAACTGTAGTGAAGAAAAGGAACAAAAACGGGAGAATATAGGTGCACAGAACACATCCACCAAACTGAGGTACTTGAAGAAAGGGCCATCTGTCACTGATCTGTCAGGGACAAAATACTAAATGATAGAACCAGGAAAGTAAGCAACTGAAAATTTTCGAGTGGGTAATACCCACCGAAAGGGATTGCGGAGCCCCATGCGCTTCGCGCAATACTGGAAAAGTGAACAAAAAAAGGAATTCGCATCAACACTAACATGAGCACTTAATTATTCTATAGAGGCTCAGTGAGAATCTCGCAGCCATGGTCCACTGCAATACACGTGCAGCTGATTGGTTCCCAATATCAGAATGAAAGTTTATACAATAGGGAAGAAATTCGAAGTATGAACTGGGTATCCACGTGGACGAGGAAAGACGAGCATAAAACCAGTGAGAACCAACGAATGCGTTCTCAAGTAGGTAGATGAGGAAGTAGCAACAATGTGCTGACTTCATGTCATAGACCTCACATGCTGACAGAGAAAAGTCAGTGGCACTACGCCGGCAAATTGTACCGAGCGTTCGCTGCCACCCGACCATCATCAGTCGCGCGTGAACTGAGTATACCGCAAGCACGACAGCCCCTACGCGGATTCGGATCGGTGATTTAAGGATTTTAAGCCAGGTGTGCAATGCATTCCGCCATCGGCCGTGGCAGATGGAACCTGTAGCAGAAGTGCTTGTACGTGGTGATGTTTATCTGACTTCACGCTAGTTGGAAACAACCATATGGCATCCAACAGAGTGAGATCATGAGGAATCACCTGTACTGACGTTTCCTGAATGAGCGGATGGGTCAGAATAGAGATTTCCGTATTGTCCTGACGCGAGATGTAAGAGGAGCCCCAGTAGAAGTCAGTGGTACGCAATGGCTAGAAGTCATGAGTCGCATCTGAAAAAGATTTACTGCTGCGTAGACTAGATTGCATACATTGAAGGTAGAAGAAGCGTAACTAAAGCGCTAGCTTCAAAATGCCACTATAAAGGAGGTGCGCCAGGACCGCGAGAAACGCCGCTGGGCCTGCATCATGATAGGCGGACTTAAACAGATGCCGTGCAGCGTAGTCGGTGACCCGAAGGCAGCCGAGTTCGTGGCATATAGTGTGATCACTGGACCGCATTAACCATGGATGCAGTTGCTAAGATATGATACATCGAAGTACACTAGGACATTGCATAAGAGCGAGTGAGTTGGTTCACTCGAGCAGGAAACCTAGATTGAGCCATTCCTAACGAATAACCTTACCAATTAATGTAGTGACTGGGTTAAGAGATATTTAAAGCAGAACGTATACGACAGCGAGTAACTGAACAGGCGGAGAGACTCGATGATTGATTTGTATCGAACTTGTTGGGTTGTTACAGAAACTCTGATTTGAAGAACAAAGTTCGGATGGCCCGGTTGTAAATGTTGATGGTATCTCTTCGATCAGAAGAACCCGTAAGTAGTTGCCTTGGGAGTTACCAGTGACTAATTTGCTGAAGTGATCCGCGAACGGAAGAATATTCAAAACCAACAGAAGTGGAGGCGCTCGACGCACAGCAGTTGAATCTATGTGTCCGAACACATGATAATAGTGAAGACCGCAATAGGCAGACGAAATGAAAAGGTGGTGATCAACAGATTGTCATCTTCCTGAACGTAACATATGAGTCAGTTGGAAAAAGAATCGAACAGCGTCCGTTTAAACGAAGCTACTAAAATTCATCAGGTCAACATTTTTTCCATCATGGTCAATGTTGAGAGTCTCGTTGGGTTGTTACGAACTGGACTGCGACGCTAAAACTCAACCAAGACCGTGATCATTTCGGTCAATCCGGTCTCTGGTACCGTGGCTGAAGCGAATACGAAGTTCTCCCTGCTCTCAACACTGTACTTCAGGATATGTTTACACCAATCATGTGCAGGCAAACCGAGCTGTACATAGACTCCGGGAGCACGGAGAAAGTCAAGTAATGCCCGGATGCACAAAAGTGTTATCTTTTACAACAAAATAAGCATTACAATCTCTCGTAGTACACTCTACCAGCGCTCAAGCTCAGTTCAATGCGCTCAAATCATTTGGAGAAGCAGCTAGACCACGTCGAAGCGGGTAACCTCTCATGCAGCTCAATAAAGGTCAATATAACAAAAAGGTTACACTGAATCAGATCTAGACTGTAGGGTGGTCAACCAACCTCCTGGATGCATTCGCTGCCAAAAAATCTATGACGACATGCAACCTGTAGGAAGGTTCGCTGGCAAGGTGCAGCAAGATCCCTATTGATCCGGTCCTTGGACAATGCGTGACCACAGCTTCCAGCACTGTGGCAGACAGTGGGTTGCATACCAGTCTTCGGTGACTGCGTTGTTGTACGAGCGGTACAATAGCCACATGACCGGTCTTGGCTACGAACACAGTCATCATCAGCCTAGCCACCCTGAGCTCATGATGGAATTTCTGAGGCGGCACCCCATCAAAGGCTGTCCAAGAGCCGAGTGTTGGTCGGTCTCCGGGTTGAATGTTACACCTAGGTCTCATCACCATTGAGGATCTCCCAAAACGAATTGTAACGTCCACCATAAAACCAGGCAAGCATTATGCAGCACCGATTCACTATCGTTGCTTTCTAATCCTCACTGAGCTGCATGGGTACCCAGTATGCGAAAATTTTTCTGAGGCCGAGGTTCTCATGTAGGATGGTGAAGATTGATCCCGATGGGAACCTGATGGCTTTCCTCAGCTGTATCACATTCACCACACATCCTCCTGCAGCATCGATTGCATGGCAGCAGTTGTTCGCCGGGGTAGTCACCACAGATCAGCGACACCGTGCCTCATCATCCACGGACCGCGTGCCACGTGTGAATTCCGCAAACCATTCAAATACGGTGGTTTCTGAAGGCGCATCATCACGGAACGCAGTAAGCAAGTGCTCAACCCTGATGCTGCATTAAACCACAGTTGTAGTCATGGAAAATTGTCGTCCTCCAGTGACATCGACTGAGTTCCACACAGAGTAAGAGTATAGTGGTCCTTTTGACTTACGAGCAGTGCTGAGCTGCTGATATAGGGTTCCGTGGGATGGAATCACTGAACAATTTTCAGAATGGACTACAGTACACACTTTTCTTGTTAGATCAGCAGCACCTAGTCTATATACTGCGTATTCGGAAACTTATTGCTCTGCCTTGATATCACGCTGATCCGCGGGCGGGAGTTTTCACAGTGGCTACTAACCGGTTGTTAGTTCTCCTAGTTGATGCATCAGTCTCGTAGAACTAAAAGTGCTTGCTGATAAAGCCTGCATCCAAGAGTCGATTCACAGTTACAACAAACTACACTTGAATCACATGAAGTCAGTCTTGCAGTGGTGTTGACATCAGGTAACAGTTACCATTTACGGTGCCAAAGCATCGGTCAAAATAGCGAAGATATCAATTTTCAGTGGATCAGATCAACATGATGGTTTTGTAAAGGTGCATGTACTAACGGCGAAGAAAGGCCTTGAAAATTCCCATAGATCGTTCAATGACTGTAAATATTTACTGTTATTTGGTATGCACTTCGCACGTTCAAAGTGCAGTGTTGCTGCAGGACCACCAGCCACTTGATGACCTCTTCACGCTTGCTAACGAGGAACTCGAGGTGGTTGACCAACTCACTTATCTTGGTAACTGCATCAGCAATGATGGGCGCATAGAAACTGACGTGAGCTCACGCATTGCAAAGGCCAGAGCTGCCTTCTTGAACCTGCGGCATCTTTGGCGACAGAAGGGAGTTACCATCCGTCTGAAAGGCCGGGTATACAAGGCCACAGTGAGGCCATTCTTCTCTATGGTAGTGTGACTTGGCCCCTTCGGTCGAAGAGCTGAGGCGCCTTCAAGTCTTTGATCATCGTTGTCTGTAAAGCATTGCTGGTGTCCGATGGCACCAGCGTGTCCGCAACAATGAGGTGCGTAGACGAGTACTAGGTAGCGATAATCATGCTAGATCCCTAGAACAACAGATAGCACTTAATAAGTTGCGTTGGCTCGGACACGCGCTACATATGCCTGGTTACCGCTTAGCTAGGAGGGCCTTGTTTAGTCTGCCAGATGTAGGGTGGCGCAAGGCTCGAGGTGGACAGAAATTGACTTGGCAGCAGGAAATGAAGACACTGACGACCAAACTGGGTACCGTTGGTCCGTCTCGCCTTCCGGGCTGGAGTCCACGTGACTCGCATTGTGCTTGGCTCGAGACTTTACAGAACATGGCTCGCAATCGACGCCAGTGGCGCGTCTGCTGCCGTCTCCGAATCGGATTGTCTGTATAAGGTGTGTTTGGTGCTGAGCTATCTGCGGGGTAATGGCTGATTATGACGCGTGGCAGTGACAGCTGCAAGGAAGTTGTCTCGCTGATGCCGCCTTATCTTTGCACGATAGCCAGCTGTTTGTGACGGAATGTTGTTAACACAAGGTGTAGGCGCCTTGACCCAGAATGTTTGCTTAGGGCATTAAGGTTTTCAGATAAGTCCCCCTTCTCTCCCTCTTCTTATTCTTTATTTCATAGTTCCTCATGATTGTAGGGCAGCGAAGCATCAGTTCAAATGGCTGATGTACTGCTGTTGATGATTATGATGATAGCGCTGACAGTCCTTGTTCATAGAAATTGCTCAAGCCACTATCGTTACCAGTATAGTGAGTAGAAACAAGGACGGACACCGCTCGAAGCACATTGGTCAGGAACCAACCAATTGGAGCCCTTTGGTCAACCAACGTGAGCGCCTGCTTGTCTCTGGTAATTTCCGGTAGCATGGAGCCCTCTAACAGATCTTCCTTATGAATTGGGTGATCAAAACCCATTCTTGACTGTGAACAATGCTTTGTTTTCCAATTTGAACTGAAGGCTTTTGGAGGACATTGTCTATCGATTTGGGAAATGGTTGATCCATGATTCGAATAACTCTGTCGGTTATCCGTACTGTCAGTGGAAACAGACAAATAAGTAAATGTTTAGACTCGATTTCCCACGAGGGTATCGTTTAGTATCGAGAAGCTATAAAAGAAAATGCTGGAAATAGGTTGGTCGGAATCCCACACTCGGAACAGAAAAGATGAATAAGGTACTTCTTTTCAAAGCAGAACGGACATGCGATGGAAATGAAATCACAACTACGATCTGGTGGCAACTCAAAGTGTACAGTGGAATATGAGCGAATGGCATCTGCAGAGTAGGCATATGACTGGAGAAGGTGAACTAAATTATGAAAACCAAAATTAAAGTTTAAAAAGCGAGCGTTTAACACAGCGCATGGTTTTATCTCCACGCGAGCGGATTGAGTTCGGAATTGGTGGGGAAGGGCGGGAGTGGGACAAAGACCGCAAGGCCTAGTCTACATACACTGAAAAGGAGACTGAAAACTATAACGTAAACACTCACAATTTGTCGAAACGAGACCAACAACGGTTGAAGCAACTGTGCGCAGAAGGAGGAGTATCCTAAAGGGAAAGCGCAAATGGAAAATGTAACAGCCGATGGCCAGCAGGCCAGTTGGAATGGAACATGAAGCGAAATAAGTGAAAAGTGGGGAGAGATGACCTCTCCGCTGGAGTAGCATTGCGATACAAAGGCAAGAAAGGTGTGCTCACCGATGTCTGTTTATCCGATCCCTGATCACCATCGATACAAGTCCTGTGGGTAAAAAGACAGTAGGAAGATACCTTGCGTTGTGAGAAAGCGGGAAAAAATGACTAAGCTATCACGATGAGAAAATCATACGCTTGGAGCAATACTGTTAGGTTAACCAGTTAAACGCTAGACTGAAAACAAGCAGTGGGTAAGAAACTGAATGTCCGTTAGACCTAACGATTCTGGGCCAAATGATGGTTGTTCAGTTGGCGATCTGATTGTTCGTTAAGCCGGGTGATTTTTACTGGAGACGTTTCGCCTCAGATCAAAATAACATCACCAGTGCGCTGTTGTGCAGCGAAGCAGAGGCGGGTTAGTGAGTGTGCGTCAAGCATTCCGGCGCGTGGAGTTTTAAGTACTATGGTGATTCGAGGTTCGAGTGAGCAATTTAACTGGTCAGATGGTCGGTCTGTGTTTTGGTTGGTCAACGGGTGGGTGACGCATGAAATCGGTCTCTCGAATCGCACCTTCTGGCCTTTGCCTATTTACTCCTGCAGTGAACCCTGTTGCTCTACTCATTTGTCTGACGTTCGATACCGTCAAAGTTGTCCGATATAGTTGGTGAACCATTACTCGCATAGATATGCATACTGCATTGAGTTCAATGTGTCGGTTGATGAAAGTTGCTGTATACTGCCAAGCTTCTAAGAATTCCCTCGCATGCCTGTTGCCTCCAATTTTCAGAATACGTACGTACCGAATGAAGACCTCATGTGTGGAAGCCAAAGAACATGGATTATGCCTTCGTATGGCCTTCATGATTTTGGAGATGCATGTAGAAAGATTCCCACTGAGGGGCTTGTCATGTTTGTTGCAATCCAACTGAGGGAAGACCCTGCGTGTTTGGTTTGTTTGGAGCGACAATGGCAGATCAAAAAGTTTTCGGCTTGACCAAGATTAAGTATCAGTGCCAAGTCTCAAGTTTCTATCTTTAGTTTCTTGCAGGTGCTGACTTATTAGACTTTGGTTGTCCAATTGCTAAAAATGGACACATTTGTAAGCCGAGCTGTGATCAAGTACCTGAAGAAAATGGGTATGACGCCAAAGGAAATCCATTCTGAGCTAAATGGATATATTTGGGTGTTGCTCTTCCCAACACTGGCACACGACGACCGCAGTTTCGTCTTGGTTTAGACTCGTCAGGTGCAGATAGCCTGAGCTGGGGTGGAACTCAGAGCTTGGTAGCGCATGGCTGACGCCCTGAACACTATGCTACTGAGATCCGCGAGCAACGTTGGCACAGCGGAAATCCATTCTGATATGGTTGTGACCCTTAGTGAGGATTCCCGTTCTTATTCCACTGTTAAAAAGTGAGTTGCGAATATGCGGACAGGCAGGGAGAATACTGAGGCTTAGCCACGATTTAGCTGCGAAAATCTTCAAAGCGTGATGATCAAGTGGAAGCAAATCACCGAATGATATTGAATGACGCAAGTTAATAAATAACTAACTAACTGGTATATTCCTTGGTGGTTCGAGGTGCAGTCCAACTATGTGATCAGATCAATGAACTATGTGGTCTGACCAATGAACTATGCGGTCTGATCAATGGTCATCAAAAGTTCATGCACTACTCAAATAGTGATTACTATGGACATTAGTTATGGCTTAGTGCCTGTAGTTTTGACGAAGATCTTGGGGACGAGAAAGCTAACTGCCAGATGGCTGCCAAAAATGCTGACACCCGATCAAAAGTTGAAGTTATCCGGTAAGTAAACTGGGTTCATCACTTTGAAGCAGAGTCAAAGATTCGAAAAAGACAGTGGAAGCACCGTGATTCTCCGCCTCCAAAGGAGTTCTGTGAGGTAAGGTCCGCGAGAAAGGTGATAGCCTCTGTCTTCTGGGGCAGTGGTGTAATCATGATAGACTTCCTGCTGAGGGGTCAAGCCATCACAGGCCTAGTGAAACAACCAGTCAAAGAAAAACGGAAATGGAAGCATACAGCAGGAGATCTTCTTTTGCATGACCACGCACCTGATCAGACTTCTCAAGTGGCCGTGTCAGAAGCAGGCACATATGGCTTTGAATTGCTGACGCACCCTGCTTACTCACCAGATCTTGCCCCATCAGGCTTTAGTCTCTTCCCCAAAATAAATCTACCCTCCGCGATCACAAATTTGCAGACGATGATGAGTTGATCAGTGCTATGGACCTGTTTCTTAGAGGAACAGACTTTGACCTTCTTCAACAGAGGGATAGCAATGCACGAACACCGCTGGACTAAGTACATTCAACTTACGGAAGATTAAGTCAGATAGTAATAAGGCATGACTTGAATGGCTGGCTTTTGTCTGTGTTGCGCCGAGAACTTGATCTCTATCCGTGTAATAGAGAGTACGAATATGAGACGTAAATTTCAAGCGTTAACTGACAGCCGATAAAGCAGAACACGGACTGACAGTCCAACGATCAGGTCCGCCCAATCAAACAACCAATCAACGTAACATGTTAAAAATCGGAACCCCCCTACACACCACATGCTCATTCCCATAGCACTCCGCTTCGTTACACAACGACGGGCCGCTGACTTCACCTCGACTAGCAGTGAAACACTTGTAGCGAAATTGCAATACTCAGTGAGCAATTCAATGGTCAGACATGGTGATCGCCATGCTACGCGAGCAGCGCATACTTGGTCATTGGTGAGTGTGTGACGTAAAACCGGGCCCGATGCGTGTACTTCGTCGCCGCTGTTGTTACAACGTGGAAGAACTTAGCTTGTGGTGTTCTTGTCCATAAAAGGCGAAGCATCAGCGGTACGCCGGTACGCAGTACCGACTCTTCGCTGCCACGCAACCATCACTAGTTGCACGTGTGCTAAGCATACTGCGAGGGTCGCCTGGTCCTTACGCAGGCTACGACCCGCGTCCTTGGAATTGCAAGGTAATCCGGTGTAAATATTCGAGTGAACCAAAAGTTAAGTCGATCATCTTCAAAGAAGCTTCGTGTATGGGGTTTCCGGGATGGTAAGCACTAGTGGTTGGAGACTACGTCAGAGATGGCGCAGTCACACAGTCAGTGGTGTTCCTGCATCCGGCTTCTCGTAGCTAGCCACTGATTTCCCATTCCTATTAATTTTACGCACATCTACCCTGATTCTGTGGGATTAATATTCGATTCGCGTTCAATCCCATTTTCCTAAAGTTGTCGAATATCGTTGATTTGGCGACGCGAGTCGTGGCAACTGGGCCCACCGCAATTCGATAACCAGATCATAACTGTGCAACTAAGAACGGAATTGAAGAGGCTGAAAAGAATATAACGGTTGCAAGCAATCTACGGAGCGCAGTCTATGTGGAGTTTGTCAAAGAGGCAGTGGACCGTCGTCGATTATAGCAACCCGTCTGGTTGAGAAAATATGGAACGTGAAAAGTAAGCAAGTCTGCCCGATCTACTTAAAGCAAAATGGAGCCCACTGGATGTGTGCATAAAGGAGTGAAGGCCACTAGTGTGATGACGCAGAAAAATATGCGTTCAATATCTGAACGGATGGATAAGCCTCAAGAGTGAAGGAAGTTCGTAAGGAGTAAACGCATTCAAAAATATTAAATGTGTGAAGCTTATGTGCCAAATAAAAACATACGCAAAGAAGAACTCAGGTGATAGTGACCACACAGTGAGCTTACACGCTGTGTGAAACGGACACGACAAAGTAGTCTACTGCATTAAACACAGTTGGAAAAAGAAGCGACCGAATGAATGAAGAAAAACTCGTGGGGTACAAAAGGCAATGAAATTCATGAAAACCTCGCATTGATTGAAGAAGACTACGGAGGAAAAGAGACTCAGTGTGCAAACATCGCTCGGAAGAACACGTATAAACAAGGGAACACTACCCTGTTAATTGGCAGCGAATAAAGTATGCTTCACAAACAGTGGAGGTGGAAATGTGAAAGAGCAGAGCGTAACGAGGGCAAAACGGCAGAACTATGAAGTAGAGAACAAACTATTCGGTCAAGCAACACCATGTGACGTCTTGATCGACAAGAAAACTGATCACAGAAGCCGTGGCCATTCGCTGACCTAGCAGCAAAGATCAAAACAAAAAGCAACACGCTGTGGAAAGCAATGCTGACGGCAACCTAGATCGAAGACAACTCCGCAATAGATGTGGTCCCAGTGACAAAAATTACAGGAGTGGATGCAGATTTGAATTTTGGCAGAAGCTGAGAACGAGTGTAGTAATCCAAGCTCGCAGAAGGTACTCCAAAATCTAGAAGCAAACTAACATAACAGTTAAATAAAACGAATAGACTCCGCGTGATCCACTAAGGCAACTATGGCGTCAGCGACACCGTCGCCGTTCTCATCAGTCCCAGTAGTACTAGCGCTTCAGCGCTACTGATTGTCCGAAGCCACCGGATATTTCTCCGACGTACCTGATGCAACCCGTGAAATGTCATAATTTAATATAAAAGATGTTCGCTTATTTCATGAGAACTGTTTACCGGGCAGATATGTAGAACAAAACGAAAAGAATGAATGGGTTTAAGGCACCCTTGCAGTACACTGCTCGAGTGTCTGCCAAAACTTAAAAAAATCCATACAGCCTTGTACAGAAAGGAAAACTGTTTCTTTCCCTAACCTGAGATCCGAATTCCGTGGTGAGACGGCGTCAAACTGACATCTATTCGGACAGCACAAACATTGAGACCGCTCTTAATAAGAACTAACTCTAAGCTCAGTTCATCCCAGTTGGTAAGGACGGTCCTTTAGTCTACATATTTGGTTGAACAGGTGAAGCAATGTCGTGCAGTAAGGGTGCGGGGCGTACCCTTGAGAATCACATGCCTGCCTTGTAATCTGAGGGTGCGGATTCTGGCCTGCAAAGGAGCAGAGCGACCCCCGTAGTATTCTTGGCCCACGAGCAACTGGTGGTGGTTGCGCTGCAGCGAAGAGTCGGCACTGCGTGCCCGCATACTGCTAATGCCTTTCCTCTTTTGCAGTAAGAGTATAACAGTTGAGAACTGTGGCTGAGCCTTAAGCTTACACGCCGTTGGAGGCTGACCTATTGAGAACTAGGAAATTTAGAAGTGAGAGTATAATCAAATGCCCTTGGGAGCATTTTATCCAGTGATCGAACGTAGGTGCACCGCGCTCCTATAGCTGATTTCTGACTGGTTTTAATTGTTAGCCACTTCGTCTAATACTTTCAGTTAGATTTTGGATTCGTTTAAAACACGGAAAATATAGCGAAAGACTCACAAATGAAAAAAGTACGACACGCCGTATCAAACAAAGTAGGGAAAAACTAGCGTAACTGAAATCATATGACGTATGTCGTGGAATTAATCCGCTCTATAGGGACAAACGAACCATACAACTACACTGTACAATGTTGTGTGACAGCGATGGAAGCATGTTGCTTACCTAATCCGGAGCCAATTTAACATGCTCATGGCCAGACAGCCGCAAAGCAATACTGTGGACATGACAACCACGATTGTGGTGGAGAAGAACATTTTCCGCTTGGCAGAACTGGTGTTCCTTATAGCAAGCGAAAAAGCCATCGCACCACGAAGTCCCGAGAAGAACAGCATGTGTTGCATGTTCATGGAGATTTTGGTCGTGGAAACATGGCCAGTAGCTCGCTTGCCTTGCGCCGCCGTCCGACGGCCAGCGCTCGCATATTCTGACACGAAGGTTGCATCCAAAATGTCATTCGGGGCGTTACAGGACTCATGGCTTGAAGAGGAAGGTGATGGATAACGGCGATTTTCATCACACAACGACCTGTGTCCACGACATAAATTGATCAATGCACTCAGCGGATACACACTGACGGCTCTAGCGACAATGCATGCCAAAATAGCGATGAACACAAATCCAGCGTTCCAGTAATGTTGCTCAAAGGTGAATGTGGAGACACCGATGTAAGCGAAAACAAAATTTTCCGACAAAAAGTTTAGCAGTTCGAATAACTGAAATATAGAAGAAAGAAATGTATGCGAAAAAGGTGTGAAAATGGGCGCAATTGACATAGAAAACTGTCATAAAACAACTAAAGACACGAAGACGCCAGGAAGGTAATGTAGAGGCAATAGAAATTGTTTAGTGTTGATAGGGAAAGGGAATTGGATTTTAATGTTAATCACAGCTTCCTGTCAAAAATGCCGGCTACCAATAGGATAAAAAATGATAAGTTGAGACGCAAGCAAGTAAATCTAAACACGGAAGTTTGTAGACTAAAAGAACATAAGATGCACAAGTTACCAGCGATGTTCAGAATTTCATGGTCCTTTAAGCACTGGAAGGAGGTGTTATCAGTGCCAGAGACTACTGAATGCACAACAGCAGAGATTAGGGTGGTACCCCTAATTAGTAGGGAGGATAATGACAGTTGAATCAGAGGTTTTAAGATTTGCTGAAATAGGAACGTTAGCAATCTTCCGATGGTATACGGTCAAATCAGTTCTGCGATAATTTCAGGGTGAAACTACGCAAGGAGTCCTATGGAAATCCCATTACACGGGAAGTACATAGGATAGCGGGTGCAGCAGAAAGATCCAGTAGTCCGAGTGAGTATGGAATGAAGTAAGCAGCTTAGCACGACGATCGAATACACGCGGAGGAGCCAAATCATTAATTTGCTACGCCTGGCAGTGTGAATGACTGGTTATGCGCTGAGAAGGATGGGAAGAAGAGTGCCATGAGCAATACGCCAGAACATCGTACGGACGTTTCGCCGTCATGCCACCCCCACCAGTCGCTCTCTGTTTAGGGCTGAGGCCCGCATCTACGCAGCTTCAAACATGTTAACGTCGGAGTACAGGGCAGATGTGTAATCTTTTCGGCAACCGGCTGAATGGAAGTAAAGATCACGCGAAATATGGTAGTCGATTGACAAGACGTCATATATTGAGAAAAAGGCGGAAGGTAGACAGAGATAAAAATCAAAATGGAGTTGATCTGCTATTTTCAGACGGTTCGGAAAACCAATTGATAAGGTGTACAGGAGTTATGTCTGAATGTTATCTCAGTTGGTTCTGGAATACCGAGATTAGTTCACAAACGAAATGCATAAAACATTTATTAAATTCTTTAAAAAAATGCAACTATACGTCACTGTACGTCAGTAGTTAGGTTTTTGGCATAAGAATGGCGTAGATGAAGCAGTAGTGTTGCAATGCACCTTCGAAGCTGAAACTCAACATACCAAGGCTAAACTAGACAGTCATCATGCTTTCTGAAGAGCACCGGAAAGCAGCTTCATCAGGCAGCGTAGTCTTGCCTGCATCCGTAGCCCAGTTGTGTAAACCACAGGCTGGTAACAGCCGAGTTGTGAGTTGGAACCCCAAAGTGGACAAAAGGAATGAGTATTCTCGAATATTGACGAAAGGATGAGACGGTTGTGCAGTGATTTGCCGGGCGTGTGATGGCTGTCTGAGTGAGTCCAGCTTATTACCATTCACTTCGTACAACAGACTCAAAGAGTGGCCAAAGACTCAGCTTGGGGCACAACCAGTGGTTTATTAAAGCAAGGTGAAGAATTGGTCAATCGGATGACCTGTACTCCCTACGCAATCAGACACTTCGAAACATAAAAGGGACAGAGAATCCGTGAAGCAATCCATCGCAGCATTAGGCGGAGTGCAGGCCAGTACATTTAGTCCAACAAGAATACCGTAGTATAGAGCAACTAGAAATGAATTCTGTACAACTCTTTCGAAATATAGTGAAAAACGTTATAAAAATTTGTCAGCCGTGAATATCGGTGTCGTTCTCATGTAACACTTAACCTACCTGACTCACGGTATTTCAGGACTTAAAAATCGGACATGTCATCGTAAGTGTGAAATCGTTCTCTGAATCTAATAGGGGTAAAATATAAACCTAACAACGTTTCCAACTTCTCCACAGATGTGGCTTCTATCACAAGTGAAGGCAAACTGTTCCAAACATTTACCACTCTCCGTACGAAGCACGTTGCACATCCGTCACGACAAGTTTGTACCTGTGCCCGCATGTGCTGCATAGCCCTCGTAAGTTCACCATTGGCCTCAGCATGGGGAAGTCACCGAGAAGTAGAATACGGTAGGTCATAATGAGGTCCACTCGCACCCGACGGTATGACAAGGTGTAGATTCCTAGTTTCTCGCATCGGTCTTCATACTCCAAATCACCTAAACTCGGGATGACCCTGGTAACAACGTGTTGGACCCGTTCGATCTTTTGTCCCTCGCCTCGGGTAATCGGAAAGTAGGCGGGCGAACCGTACTCTAGCATTTCACTAATGATGGAAGAAAAGGGGCGAGTGGCAACCTCATCAGACCGTGCCGAAGCTACGTTAAAGCGCCCAAAACATGCGCAGTCCGTTACGATATAGCATGTTCGTGTTGTCCACGGACTTCAAATCGTAGCGCGACAATACACCTAGGTCCTTCACGGAGGGTGTGGGATATAGCGGTTGGCCATCAGCACCCATCCCCAGGCTCATAAATACAGACCTGGTTGGAGTGACCAGGAGATAAACTTCTACAGATCACGTAGATAGGTGACTGATGTCTTGCTGAAGTAGGCAACAGTCCTCGTGAGCCTCAATTTCTTTCCAAATCTTCATGTCGTCCGCAAACAAGGTACACGGCGACCGGAGAACTGAGGTAGATCGTTGACGTGGATCAGGAACAGAGTGGGCCCCAGCACAGTGCCTTGAGGCACGCCACTTGTAGAGGGATACCAGTCAGTTACATGGTTATTGACCTGTACCCCCACTTTCTTCCAACAAGAAAGTCGCGGATCCACCGGCGCAGTGAGCCACTGACACCGCACATCCTAAATTTGTGAAGGAGAACATGGTTGGCCTTGCCGAACGCTTTACGGAAGTCGATGAATATCACGTCCACGGACTTCCCCTTGCTTATTGCGTTCAATCACTCATGCCTCGTCACAAGCAAGGTTGTAATGTATGAGCGGATTTGCATAAGATGGTGATGTGACATATCGCTTCAACGCCGCAATCCAGACTGTCGAATTCAGTAAAAGCGGTACACGTCGAACTCAGAACAGACACCTGGTTATTTGTAAATACAGAAGCGAGATGCGCCGCCAACACGGACGCACGGTCAGTACTGGAGGTTAGGGGCTGTCCATCCGGGCCATCCAGCACTGGCAAATCACTTGCCGGCATCAGGCCTCGCTTAACGTAAGCAAAGATTCTCTTTGGGGCGGTCTTCACGGCGATTGCGAGCTGCACATTGAAATGTCGGCGCTTATTACATTTTGCACTGTTGAAGAGGTTAAGCTGACTTTTATACCCTTCGTAGTCATTGGCAGAGCCAGAGAGGAAAAATCTGTGCCAAAGTCTGCGCCACCTCCGAGCCAGATTTAAATACTCCTTGGAAGTTTAAGTGTGGTGGAGCAAGTTCCTTGAGTTACGCCACTAGAATAACGCCGAGGTAAATAATAATACCAGTGACAGCCGAGGGGAAGCGTAGAAAAATCAGACGTCAGATAGATAGTTAATGGACCGATACAAAAGGACGAAAGAACATTGGCTTTGTGCCAAAACCATATCAACATCATCATCATCAATAAACGTTAGTTGAGGAACACACACACCTCAGCCAATGTGCCGCAAAACAAAAGGGTAAGACACAAAAAATACTACAAAAAAGCCGAAAGTGGGTAACACAATGTTAAATATTACATTATGTAACTCGTATGAGATCGGGATTGGAGGGGGAAGTCTAAAAGGGGAGAGAATGGACAGAGAAACACAACACAAACGCTATTGGGGCCGGCTCCTAGCTATATCAGCAAGTGTCTACAACCAAACGTCTTCACCGTCCTTCGGACCCAAGCTACGCAGTCGGGATGCACCAACCGATGCGTTTCGAAGTGAGGGCTTTCATTTCTTTCAAGCAAGTCATCGCTTGACCTCCCCTCCTCCACTTCCAATCGCACCACCGGCGCGCAAACAATACAGTCGCTGGAGGTGGTGTGTTGACATGCGCAACACGTGGCCCAACCATCAGAGCCTGATGCGTGATATAATGGTGCTAAGCGATTCACTAGTTATTCCTGCACCAAACACGCGACGTCGAACACGCTCATTTCTCACGTGGCGTTCCTACCAGTCATGAGTTGTGCTGCGAAGGCAGCGACGGTCGAACGTGACTAGCCCCTTTATGTCCATCGATATGATAGGCTAGGTTTCACAGCAGTATAAGAGGGTTGAACGGACGCTGCATTATAAACTCTGCTTCGCAAGGCTAGAGTGATGTCGTGTCTGCGCCACAGGTGGCGAAGATCGGCAAAAGCACCTCAAGCTTTTGCCTTACGGTTCGGACCCTCATTTTCGATCCAACGAGCATTACTATAGTTGCCCAGGTACTTGAATCTCTGAACGACTTCTAGCTGGTCACCCCCAACGTTCAACGCATGGATGGGTTCCTGTTAACCTTGCAGAAGTACTTTGCAATTCTATGGAGAAATGCATAGCCCAAAACGATTGACAGCCAGTGCTAATCGGTCCAGTGCTACTTGACACGTTAGGGAGCTGTTACAGATGAGGGCAATGTCGTCCGCATATACAAAGTCAAGAAGTCGTTCACCAGGAAGTAGCTCCACCCCTTCTAGGTCGTGTCCAGCAAATGCTTCTTTCCAAGACTTAGACACTAGCGAAGTTGAAGAGGAAAGGTGACAGCGGGTAACCTTGTCTTACGCTGCTGAAGATAGCTTTCCATAAACTCTCACTCTGCCCAAACTATGCGCACACAACGTTTTCCTTGACAGACAGTCCCAAAGGGCAAATTGATCAGCCGGATCGAAGGCATCTTTGATATGGAGAAACAAGACTACGAGGGGGCACCAATAAACATGGCGGTGCTACATCAATTGATGCAAAGTGAAGATGTGGCCGATGTAGTCTCGATTTCGACGAAACCCGGCTTTCTCTTTACGGATATGGCCTCCACGAGCG